AGCTCTTGGGTAACCACATACTCAGGATCCATATAACCTGAAGTCATCCGTTCAATATTCTTAAGTTCTTTAGCAAGAAAATATATATCTTTTTTTATTTCAGGCTATTAAACAAGCTTGACTCTAACCTGGAGTGCCCCGGATATCCGTGTTTACCGCTTCAAAGCAAATAGAACCATCTTTCGATGCATGCGCAAGGCCAAAATCCGCAACCTGGAACAAAAGGAGAGAGATCTATTTCAAAGAATTTAAAAGGGGTTATTAGCATGCATTTTCAGAATACATTCCATGCCATAATATCTTAAGACTCTAAAAGTAATTGTAAAAAGTGTCCTTTCCTTTTTGAACCTCTTTTATTTAAAGAGGAGAAAATTTAGTCACAAATGAGTATGTGAACACACCTGGATCTATTAAGAGAAACTATTATCTTTCTTCATTTAGTTGTTTACAAAATAAAAATTAAAAATTAAAAATTTGCACCAAAGAGATTGTATTAAAAGCTATATCTGTATCCAACCATATACCTTGGCACGAAAACTCTCATCCAATAAGATGTTGCTAGACTTAATATCTCTATGGCACAGAGGAGGATCACAATAGAAATGGAGATACGCCTGCAGTTCAGAACAGCAAATTAGGAAGAAAATCTATTTTTTCAGTGTGTGTGTTTGTGTAACTGATTGTGAACAAATCTGAAATCTCATGAACAAAACAAACCAGTAACAAGATAAGCATAACCCATGAGTTTACCAGAGCATTAGCCACGTCAATGGCAATTTGGACTCTAGTCCGCCAAGTTAGAGGAGTTCTATTTGGAGCTGCATACACGTGAGTAAACATATTCAGGATAGATTAATGGCCTTAAAAAAATGTTGGTTTGGAAACAAAATAAGAGAATGATTTTATGTCGTCTTCCATAGCTTTTGGATGCCTGAATATATCATTCGGAAAGGTGACAATCACCATATTAAGTGGGATTCCACCGAGAGAGAGAGAGAGAGAGAGACAGACAGACAGACAGACAGACAGACAGACAGACAGAGACAGAGAGGCACCAAAAGATAAAACAATGGACTTCAAATGGGATGAAAAACACCATCAAATCATCCCTTTCCATAAAGTGGTTTTACAACACCATTCTCAAAGCAAGTGAATTCGGGAGATGGAGTAGCATACAGTGAAGATGATCCTTCAAGCTACCATTTGCCATGTATTCATACATGAGAAACCTGCCAAGAAACACATAAAGCATTTGGGCAGGTACATAAGCTCCACAAACATACACAAATCTACATAAATCATCTACCTCTCATGTTTCTCACTGCAAAAACCCCTTAGAGAAACAAGATGACGATGATGCAATCTAGCAAGGAGCACTATCTCTCTGCAGAACTCATGCTCCCCCTGCTCTGAAACTTTGTTCATCCGCTTCACTGCTGCCACTAAACCATCACTAAAGTGAGCTTTGTACACAGTTCCAAATCCCCCTCGTCCAATGATCGTGTTGAATGTTTCTGTCGCCTTCTTTATTTCCTTGTAGCTGAATTTTCGGAACATAGATGGAGCACCTGCACTTATTTCCCATCCCGGAGAGGAACCCCAACAAAAAATATTCAATAAGGAATACCAGTCACTATGAAAGCAAATTAACAGGGAAAAAAACCTAGAATTGTACCTTCCTGAAATTTCCTCATAGCAGGAGTTGAGGGAAAGGATTTTGATGATTTTTTATCTATATTCTCAGACTCCAGAAGCTCTTTACTTTTCCTACGAATGAGAACTATCAAGACTAAAAGCATCATTACAGCGACAGCTGTTACTGCAATCCCAATACCTGGAACCATTGTCAAGTGGTAGGAATGATGTTTTTCACTTATGGGAAGACCCAACGAGTGTTGGCTTGGGCTAGAAGCCACCAAAGGGCTCGGAGAAGCCTTTGGGGTGGATGATGGGGATGGCTCTGAAACTAGAAACACAATCGTAAGCAAAAAAATAAAAGAATCCTTAACTGTTTGGATTAAAATATATATAGACCAAGAACCCCATTTATAAAACATGCCAACACATAATTACCATGAATAATAAGTTAAATCCAGATCTTCTGCTTTTAAAATTACAAGGATAACTTTCATAACAAAAATGTATTGTACATTTTACTGGACTATGTGATTGAAAAAACAAACAAGGATCACTGCTGCAATATGTTTCAAGAAAAATGATGTACTGGCATAGATATCCTCATCCAAAGCTTGCTATAGAAACATTTCAAAATACATTAAAGTTGTTCCCAACACCAACCTTTCCACGACAAAAATAAATAATTAAATGACAAAGGCAAAGTTGAAGGACCAAGTTCATTTGAAGGGGCCTTATCTTATCTCAACAAAACTGGATCCAAAAATTCATTCATCATTCCAGTTTACCAATATTTGTCACATCTTACAAACTGAAATTTCATTCTCTGCCAGAACTATCCATACCTGGTAGGATGTTAAGCCCCTGGACTTGAAAGAAACAGCTTGCAATGCCAATAGCTGAAGCATCATCAACTTGACTAGCCAGTGCAGCAAAAGTTGCGTCCCGGCAGGTACTCAATGTTATATTATCTTCTGTTCCTAATAGATGATGAAGATAAACAATGCCAGCATTTAAACACTTCTTGCAAGTACTTTCCTCCGAAAGTGGTACTTTGCAATTTTCCATGACATCAATGAATTTTGGAGACCGCAGCATCTGTGTAACAGTTGTTCGGCCCTTACACTCATAATTTACTGGAATTTTTGTCCCAAACCCACAGAAAGCTGTTGCATTTCGGGGAACTCCATACAGTTCTAAGGTTTGTGATATAGAATGGAGGCATACGTCAGATAAATTTGAAGGAACCCCTAAGTTGCTTGTTGAATTTGCATACTGAGCAATAGAAACAGCAATGAAAGCATTTATATAGCGGCAACACTTTCCTCTGTCATCGTTATTAGAGCACAAGGAAGCTGCCAGAGTAACGTTTGATCCACTCAACTTTAAGGGGCACTCTGCAAAAGTAGAAATTATGGGCAACATGAGATGGCTTTTTCTTCCCATTTTTGGGGTATCAGTTATGGAAACCATATTTCATTGAAAAACAGCTGCAACATGGGACATCAGACTGTTTAAACAGTACAGAAAAGTACTAGTAATCTTTACAATTGGATTTAAAAGTTTGTATCAAGGCAAACATATCACAGCCTTGGAAAGGAGATATAAGATTCTGCAAAGAAAATAAGTACGTAGATAACCCATATCTTGCAGCTTTTCAGACTTCTTCATGCAGGGTCCAGCACATCTGAGTCTTGGATCTCAAAACTTGTGTTGTACATAAGTAAAGAATAAGAACAACTTAAGGAAGAAAAGAAAAATAGCGTCCTATTTGAGATATAGAATAAGCACATTTGTCACTTACAGAAAAGATTATGACTCAGCAATGCACTTTATTCATGAATGAAGATGAATTTTCTTGGATTATCCTAAAAAGTTCAATGAAGTGCTATTGTGATAATGATTGCAAACCAAGACAGATCACAAATATGTTATCTTTCACGTGTACCAGTATATGAAGTACCAGACACGAGATAGATCTTCCAAAGAACAAGGCAACTCCTTATTTACGTGGGAGCTATAAAAGTTTTAATCGTATTTTGCTGTGATGCATTGATGCAATGCTCTATCTTGCACACCGTATTGGTATAGGACACAAAGCCAAGCAAGCACATGTGACTCTTTATAAGGTCAGCAACCTTTTCTTATATAGCTTATATGAAAGACAAGAATAAGATACTTATGCGAGGCAACAATAATACTAAAACAGTTGGAATACACCAGAACACATAGAGATTTCTGAAACTACAAAAACCCAGTTGCAGTGTAACTACTTTGGCTATAAACTCCTAAGCAAAACCAATAATGTGCGAAAGAACACTTCTGAAATGCCCATTAAAAATGCAAAAGTGAGCTTGTAGCCAAATTGAGCTCAAAATTGAAACACACGACACGACCATGCCAATAACATCTATCCACCAAGAGCACCTCCACCAAATGAATGAGTTCGTAAAATCCCAAAATCTCCGAGAAAATGATACACATTGTAAGTGCCCCCATTAAAAATCGCAGCACATTAATTTTTTCGTTAAAAGGGAAAGAAGAAATACAGAACTCACGGGTGCCTAAAAAAAATTTATAAAAAAATGTCAAGGACTTGAAATTTTCTATAGGACCCATCTCCTATAAACCCAAAATGGGGTCTCTGAAAGTGAAAGCGCCCAAAACATGAAATGCAATAAGATGGAAAACGAAAGCAACAATCATATGAATAACTAAATACAATTGCAGCCTCTTCAGTCAGTCTCAAAACAGAACGAAGCAAAGCAAACGAGAGAACAACAACCAAAGCAGAGCTTTATGAGAAACAAGAAAATGACCCAGAAATATTTACTCACCTGCCATTATTGGAGGGAGAAGCTGCATTCCAAGAAATACAAGAAAACCCAGAAGAAATCCCGGTCCGTACACGGCCATGGTCGAGACCAAGAGGGAAAGTTCCACTCACCAAGAGAGCAAAGAGAAGTGGGGTAAGAAACAACGAGCCAGTATGTTAACACATTTGGGAACCACAAAAACGAAGGCTTGTGACTCTGAGAATGTGTGTGTGCGTGTGAGAGTGAGAGTAAGAGAGTGAGAGAGGGTTTTGACTGTGGGAGTTGACTGGAATGGGCCCACCACCCTCTCCTTTGAGAATTTTCCGTGTGGTAAATTTTAGAATTCTTATTCTTTGTCAAATTTAATAGGTACCTGTGGGGCCCTGTTTCCCAGTATTATACTGGGGAGGGTCACATTTCATTGGTCTTCTGGGAACACAAAAAACCCAGTTACGTTCTTGTTTTTGTTTTTTTAATTTCCATTGTGCTGTTCAAAGTTTTGGCTTTCTCGAGTGGTATCAGTTGCATGTGCATATAGAGTCATATGGAAATGGAGATCAGTGGTAAGTCCAAAATTGGGTTTTTATTCCCTTTTTAGTTACAAAAGAGTCTAAGAGGGTGACTCAAAACTGTTCTTACATTTGGATGTTAATCTTCTGGTTTCCTCTGCCATGCGATTATAGGCCGGTCGACCAGCATGCTATGTTTTAGGCTTCGAGTCGCAACTTGCTTCGATAAACATCAATTTTCATCAATTTCTTTTTCGAATTTTTATTTATTTATTTTTAATGTCATTCTGTATATGCTTGTTTACTTCCATTTTAGAAAACTGGATTTTAGAATCACCATACGAACTTCGATTTTAGATTTTAAACAAGAACATGTGCCGATTAACAGAAAATTACACTATAGTGATCGAGTCCGGATAAAAATCGGATATTAACACCCATATAAGAGAATATTGTACGCTTTCTCATAAACTTGTACATGTTAGCATGTCTTGTTATCTCGCTAAGGATAAATGTTAGCTTGTTCAAGCTTCTCCTTGTTTTCCCGCTAAGGAGAGTTTTTTATTTCTTTTTTTCGTCTGAAAGAGGAAGAGAGTTTCTCACCCACACTACTAAATTGTCATAAATGTTCGAACCTAAGACCACCAATATGCAGATTACTGTTAGATAAGAATTGACATAATTAAAAACTGTTGGGTAATATGATGAGGGAAGGTAAATATACTTTATGTTAGATAAGAATTGACATAATTAAATAGGATTAATCTTTGGCACAGTAAATTTTTTATTGCGCTTATTGCTCCTCCAATTAAGTGGACCCCTTACATTCCATGGAAATCCATCCCGTGTTGATGTGTCCAATCATATCATCCTAGTGACCAGGTAGCATGTGAGAACCATAGACTTCATTAACGAAGGTTCATGTGAGACCCACAGATTTAATTGTTTTTTTGTTATTTTTAATGTTTATAATTTTGTTCTTTTTTATCAGTTTGTTCTAAAAAGCAAAAACGTTGGCACCCTTGTGATGAATTGTGATGATGATGTTGTCCGTATTGTGGTTGTCTGTCTTTGCCACAAAAACAATGCATGACAATGATGTAATGGTGTGTACCAGCTTTGTTTTGTTGGAGCATATAAATTAATAGTTGCTGTAAATATAACTCAGATTTTTTTAAGGTAAAAAATAAATAAAAGTGCAATAGTGATGGTGTCTGCAGTAGTGACAACACACACCACATTGGTGGGTTTAGGCCCAACCCTTTATTTTTTTCTTTTTGAAATAATTTACATGCAATGCCAGCCCAATACTTTATAACCCATATTTATCAGTACATGGAATGGAATAGTTTTGATTATTAGTTAAGTGAAATTCTATAGTGAGGGTGTTGTATATGGACGTCTCATGTGCATTTTCATATTAGTTACAAGATCATTTCATTAAACTTAAGTGAAGTTACTATTTATAGGAATCATGTGGCTAATATGATGGTCCGCATATATGGCACCCTCACCATAGAACGACTCGTTTAGTTAAAGGGCAAATTTCCTAGTTTCAATATACTTTTAATAATTTATTTAAGAAAACCCCTTATTACCAACCTACACAAATTAAACCACAACATGAACATACATCAATTTGTGCATATAGATTTACCTTAACTAGAAACATTGAAGAGTGGCGTTGTCGCCACCCTAATTCACAGTGGTAAATTCACATCAAGTGGACATAAAGGGGCAAAGTTGCATGGACTTAAACTGTATCATGTCTGTGACAAGAAAATGTTATAAATACGCAATTGTTCTTTTATATTTCTTCACCCACTTTATCTATTACATTTCAACAACAAAAAATATTCTTTTAACCCATTATTTCTAAACAACCCATATCCCTTCACCTTCACGTTTTGTGTGTGTGTGTGGATAGATCTCCTCCTCCACCTTCACCTTCACCTTCTCCTTCATAATCATATAATACGTATTACAAGCATTGCCTTTTGTGGAACGTCAGTCAAATTTGTAACTTACAAGTCTTGTAATGTCAAGAGAGAAGGAAGCTGCTTCAAGCAA